ATAAAATTAATATATATATATATATATAACTTACTAGCTTTTATAAAAAAAATGGGAAAGGGAAACTCATTTTTTAAGGATAAAAAATAAGTATAGAAGAACATGGCATATAAAAAATAATGACGATAAAAATAGTGTTATTATTCACGTTATTTTTAAGCTAATATCTATATTTATTGAAACTATTAGGGTTAGCCTAATGGTTAGTGGAGAAAAGTTATGGTAAATAGAAGCTTGAGGACCTAAGTTCAATCTTCATTGTGACTATCTTTGTAATCTATATTTACTGAAAACAAAAAAAATATTATCTCGTCATCTTATTTTTTTTCCTTCTTTTTATCAAGTAATTGGATATTTTTCAAGAATTAAATATTTTATCTAGTGCTTATAATATATTTTTATTTGTTTTTGTCCTTTTATAAAAAAAATATAATCTTTTTATTTTTGTGATGTAAATAGGATACATCGACTATGTTGGAGAAGATATTTGAGAGAAGTTTATAAGTTGTTTTGTTTAACTTATAAACTAATTTAACAAAAAAATAAGATTGTTTGTTACATTAGTTTATTTTCTAAGTTTATAGTTTATTTTCATGAGTTAATTTAAGTAATTTACAACTTATAAGTTTATAACTTTTTTTTTATCTTTATTAATTTATTTTAATTTTTTTTTATAAACTTCTAATTTTTTAACTCCTATCTTATAAGTTTTTAGTTAATATAAAGTAATTTCACAGAACACACATCTTTATATATAAAGTGAAGTAGATCTTTTATCTATTTTATCACGTAAATTGTCACATTATAAAACATAAGTACATCGGTATATTCTTTAGGAATTAGAAGGTTTAATAAATATTAGTTTTTCTTAGAGATTACCATACACCATCACACTAAGGGGGGCGTATTGGTTTAGGATTTTGTAAAATTTTAAAAGACTTTTTTTGAATAAAAAAATTCATTGGTATTCAATCAAGATTTTATGTCACTTACATTACTCTTCCTCTCTCCTCTTTCAGTTTTCTTACTCTCATCTCCTTTCTTCCCGCTTTTAGTTTTCACACACATGTAAAACGTAGAACTAGTTTTCAATAATATTATAGGTGTGTGTGACTTTTTCGACAATAGGTAAAAAATTAGAAAAAGACGAAATGGTGCATGTGAAAATTGAAAAAAAAAATGTGTGAAAAAGAAGAAAAAAATAATAAATTAAAAGTTGAAGATATAAAATAAAAAAAAAACAAATATTTTATAATTTTAAAAAAATAATAAAGGAGATGTACTCATTAAAAAAAAGAGGTGTATATATCATGACCCATCGGAGAATTAATTAGAAGTTCAAAATGTATATGCTGTATTGAACATGCTCTTGATCCAATGCCTCAGATCAAGGCCCAAAATAAATGGGCTTAGGCCTAAGTTGTTGAGAGATGTAAACACACACTTATTAGTTACTGTAGTTGTTTTGTTTGACCATATTGTTCATCCCTTCACCAAAACAACGATAGTGTATAGTATATAATTTCTTATCTTTAGACTTATACTTATATGGGACAAAATTCGTATTAGATTAAAATTAATTAAAGTAGTGTGGGATTTGTTTAAGAGGACAGAATTCTTCTAACATCTTTTTTTTTTCTTTTCATTTATATGATTCAATCTGATACTTTGTTTAAAAAAAAAAAGAAGATTAAACTCCTTATCACTTAAGACCAATTTAGTAAATTCCTCTTTATTCGTTTTATAATTAGATAAGTGTATCCCCTAAAGCATTCAAGAAGAAGATTAATACTTTTGTAAGAAATTAAAATAAATTTCAAAGATTTTTTTCTAGAATCTCATAAGTCAAATTTTCATAAAGTCATTGGGATGAATTTGAGGAATGCAAGAAAGCTACCGATACAACCATATATATTATACAATAAAGCTGCAAATTAATCGGTTTTGTGGAATGAAATATTTGAACCCGAAGAAGCTTGGCATGAAAAGTCATCTTGATGGGTTATACATGATAATGATATAGATGAACCTAGAGAAGACAGTGCAATTGAAACTCTAGTGATATTATTGATTGAATAAGATTTGTTGATGTATGGGTTTTCACGCGTATTTTAGAATACAGGAACTACAATAGAAGCTATATTGGACTGAAATTTATGTTACAAAGATACTCTAACATATATATTTATTTTATAATTAAAATTTATTTAAGATTATAAAATTATAGATAAAGGAATGGTAGATAATTTAATAATTTCTAAGAAATTTTAGTCATAATATAAATATATTTAAAAAATATTATTTATATTTATCATTTTTTCCCATTACATTTCCTTCACCTCACTTATTTTAGTAGGTAATTTTAATTCTTTTAGTTTTACATTACTCTTCCTCTCTCCTCTTTCAGTTTTCTTACTCTCATCTCCTTTCTTCCCGCTTTTAGTTTTCACACACATGTAAAACGTAGAACTAGTTTTCAATAATATTATAGGTGTGTGTGACTTTTTCGACAATAGGTAAAAAATTAGAAAAAGACGAAATGGTGCATGTGAAAATTGAAAAAATCTTATAGAATCCTGTAAAATCTTAAAAGTCATGAAAATCCTGCAAAATCTTTTAAAATCCGCAAGATTTTTTTTAACTAAAAAAGTCCTTTAAAATCCTAATCCAATACACCCCCCTAAATGTTAGTTTTTTTATAACAATAACTTTGAATGCCTATTTAGTGTCCTATGTCCATTACTACACACTCATTTGAATGTCTATATATTAACATCCCTCTTATTGATCATATAAAAAAAAGATATTATAATCTGACTAAATAATGTTTCATTGTTCTTAGTTAATTTTAATTTGTAAGATATTGTTACATATTCTTATCACATTTTCTATTTTATAAACTCTCGTATCATTATTTCTCACTTCCAATTATAATTTGACTCTTATATAATTCATTCTATTTTTTAAAGTTACATATCAGCCTTATTTCCACCTCTTTTCCTTCTCATAACATTTGTGTTTTTTTTTTTTTTAATATTTACAGAGGAAATAATGGTTTAGATATGATCGTAAGAATAACAACAAATATAAGAAATATGAAAAACTAAACTTTCCATTGTGAATATGTTTCACAATATGTAATTTCATATTGTCGTTCTCTATTTTATATATAATTAATTATTGCAGATTAATGTGTTTCGTGTTAAACATGACTTATTCTTTTTTAGTGTAGAATGAAATTATATTGCTTCAATTGTTCTCTTTTGATTTTTATAATGTCATTCCAAATATTCTCACTCTTATAAATCTTTTTATTAGAAATGATTTTGATGTATTTATTATCTTAAGGTTCCTAGAGTTTGTCTATAGTCTGGTATAATGGTTTGCTTATTGCAATACCATTGTAAAGTCTTAGGTTCGAAACATGACATGTCCTTATCTAAACCAAACTATCAAATTAAGGTTTCCAAGTAATAGGTATTTTTATGGGTTTGAGAAAGGAGATTTGGCTTACTCTCTAACCTATATATCCAAAAACGCATTTGTTATGGTTGTAAAAAAAGATTAGGTGATAAAGTTGATTATTCAAAGAAAAAAAATTTCAAACTTGAAAATCATTCTTTACCAACATGTCTTGATCTAAAAGAGAAGCAAACAAGAAAACAAATAGAAATTTCACATCCTTCTAAATATTTTCACAAATTGTTCAAAAATTTGAACGAATTGGGCATTTCTTTAAATGTTTTGGCATGGAATCCTTTTCATTTTCTATATATCATGTTTTATTTTTAAGCCTTTACATAATCACTAGTTTTCTTCTTCTATATATATATATATGGGTTTGCCTATTAG